TCCCAGAGGCATGACGGGACTTGTAATACTTCAGCAACTGGAGGGTCATAGTTTGGAGACCCCTGGTATAGTGGTTTGTGGTTAAAGCGGAACCAGTCTCCCCGAGAAAAATTAAAAGTCAGCAGCTACAAACACTGTAGCTGCTAACATTTAATATAAGGACGCTTACCTGTCCGGGGATCCAGCGATTTCCTCATCCGAACTAATTCTTCAAACGGCTTCGGGTCCAGGCACCGACATCTTAAGTAGCGGAAAACGTCAGTGTAGCCTTGCAGCTTCTCAGCCGGTTCCCACGGTGCACGTGCAAACCATACTTTTGGGTGACGTTCTGCTTTAAGATCAGGTCTGAAAAAAGTAATTAGACTTTGCACGTGACTATTGTGTCATCTTTTCTCCAGCCAGCAGGTGGGGTCCTTGTCTGTGCTCTTTGCTCTCTTCACCTTTCACATGTTGAAACCTGTTGCTTACAAAGCTCAATAGCTCAAGGTGACATTTACATGATTTTAACTTTTGCTCTGTACTTTGTCAGTTTTTTATTGATCTTTTTGTTTCATTGGGAAGATTTCCCCTATCTTGCTATCACTATAGTACATTGGTGATTAGAACTCCCATTAGAAGCTGTAGCTCATTTCCTGGCTGGGGGACATCCCCGCCCAGGGGCGGACTGACAACTCATGGGGCCCCCGGGAAATAGGGGATCATGGGGCCCCTGTTTCCGTGCCCAAACTCAAAAAAGCCTATGAAAAAGGTACCAGGGGCATCTCATGGGGCCCCCTACTGACCCCGGGCCCTCAGGCAGTGCCCGAGTTTCCAAATGGTCAGTCCGCCCCTGTCCCCGCCCACCCCTTTCATTCATTGGATTTCAATTCTTTCACTTTCAAGTGCATCCATAAGTCATAGAAAAAAATACAGGTTACAGTGGCAAAGGTCAATAAGTATAGCATGTTCCAAGCTAGGTTTTCAGTAACGACACAAATATAATGAACTACATGAGGGTAGTTAGGAAAGGCAAGGGGGGGCAAACGTGTTAACCACAAACTGGGAGACACTCTTCGATTAGATGGGAGAGTTGGGCCATGCACAGAAGATGGTCAAAAATATAGTAACCAAGGCCTTCCAGAACAGGGAGCCGAAAGAAAAAGAAGGGGGAAAGAAACAGAACAGGATTGAAAGAAGAAGAGGGGAATAGAAGAAGGACATTGGGGACAAATCCAGGACTTGCAATGCCTATAGCAGTGTGTAGCTTTCGTGGGACATGGCGGGGTGAGCGTACTGTATCCATGGGGCCCAGGTTTTTTTTAAGAATTCCTTTTGTGTGTCAAGGAGAATGCTAGTAAGATTTTCGTTAATAAAAAAAAGTTGTCTAGGCGACAATGGATTTCCTCAAAGGAAACAAACTGTTGTTTCCAAGCTTTTGTGTTTGTTTCACTGCTAGTAGGACATATGTAGCCAGTTTACAGTAGAATGGGATCTCGTGAGGTCTAGAGATTATGGATTTGAATTCTTTCAGTCATAGAGGCTCAGCATCTGGTGTGGTCTGCATGCAAATACAGCCTGCCCACACCTCCAGACAGACACCCACCCATTGAGGCATTTGGTTCTTGCATGGCTACATTCATACGAGTGACACTCATGAGCGGCTAGCTGCAGCTGCGGAGCCAGTACACTTTAATGGCAAAATGCCGGTGCGGATGTATTTTTCATTTTAAAAAAGCAGCCCACTGTTTGCATCAGGGCTGAGGTCCCTTGAGAGAAGTACTATGGCAGGGTGCTGTGATGGTTTTCAGGAAGCTATGTACAGCATCCTGCCAACCCCTCCCTCCAGCCATGATCTGCCTGCATTGCACTGGGAAGCATAAAGACCCAGTAATACTGTCACTGGGTCTAAAATAATGTATGTATTGAAAACAGAAAGGTTTTAGTTAAAAATTATATTAGCATGTTGACAAGAGGGAAGAGAGGAACCAGGAAAGGCACAATATAAACAGAATAAACTCCCAGTTGCAAGAGACCAGAGTCCAGCTTTTTATGCCCATGTAGCACCTCAGACGTGAAATATGAACAAAGCTTATCCCTCTATATCGTGTACTTGTCTCAATCCAGAGCACTAAGTGTGATTTCTGTTTGCTACTTCGGTCCTCTGCTATCTGCAGAGAATCGCTTCTGACAATTTTTCCTGACACCAAGAGAAAAATGGTGACGGGAGGGAGCTCCAGCAGATTGGCATCCTCAGCTCTGTTCCTGTGAGCTGTCATGAAATGTAACTTCAGCTCTCCATCCCATTTTTTTCTGAACTTTCAGACTAGCTTTATAAATTCAACACATTAAAAAGATGTAGATAAGAGAATACTGCAGATAAACAGGTAAAACTTATATAGGAGGAATTGTTTAACCTCCCTGGAGGTATTTCCGAGCGTAGCTCGGGGTAAAGTTTCAGCACCACAAGCGGTAACCCCAAGCCTCGGGCTCCCTTCTGCACTTACCTTGTCCTGCGCTCCCGCGATGTCCCCCCTGCAGCGTCCCCCGGCCATCTCCTCCAACCGATGCCGGCATCTGTCTTCCGGGTTCCATTCCCTGCGACGTCGGGACGTACGGGATGTATGGGGGACGGACGGAAATTTAAAAATGTCAAAAAGTGACATTCACTAAATCACTTAGTAAAACGTTAGTAAATATTAGTAAAACATTAGGGACACTCTTTTTTTTTTTATTGCCCCTTATGTCTCTTTGAGGAGATTCCCCTTCATTTCCTGATACAGACCATTAAAGCTTTATCCACTCTATCCAGAACACAAAAACGTTTTGGTTGGAGTTCAATTTTAAGGGGGTTGGGCTATTTATCAACGTTTTTAAATCAATGATTCACTCAACTTTAACCCAGGATTCATATTTTTTTCCAATTCAATCTAATTTAAAAATGTGTGAACCTTTTGTGAAATCATCTATAAACCCCCTACATGTCTGCAGTGAAAGAAAAAGTGGCTACCCTAGACAAATTTGCTTTCATTTCTGTATGTGAAAAAGGTATTGGTGGAATCTGATTGGTTGCTGTGGTTAACACAAACACTTCCCTCTACAGTGTATAAACTAGAATCATACTACACATACTAAGCACAGGAAGTTATTGGGGTTTCAAGCGTGTTCATAGGACTGTAGTATCTATCAGTTTGTCTGTAAAGACCTTCTTGGTGGAGATCACCTTCTCACCTCCTTGTAAAGGGGGCGGATATGATTCACAACTGCCTGCCTTACTTTAAACTGAAATATTTCTACAAAATGTTGTGTGAAAATTCATAGTACAGTCGATGACTTAACGAATGTTGTTTAAAAATACTTCCAAACTTTGGTTCTAACAATTGATTTTGGAACAAATGGACTTTCAGTTTTCATTCCATTAACATTTTCCATCCAGCTGCTTCAAATTCTCTCATGAAAAGTGAACAAATGTTCTTAAAATGAGAAATTTTGAACAAAATTCTACTAGTGAAAGACCAGCTTTACAAATACAAAATACTGCTACAGTTGTGCACTAACACAGAAATAAGCATTCACATATGGGGTGGTATCTTTGGCCTCCATATTGGTAAAGGGGACATCCAGATGCTAATGAACCGCCAGGCTTGGGTTGCGGGGAAGGGGCCTTTTCCTCATCAGTATGGGGACAAGGTGCTCTGACAGGAGGTACCCCCTGGCAAGCTACCCACCCAATGTAGCGCATATGGCCTAGTATGGTTTTGGGAAGGGGGGCACATGCCCACCTCCCCCCCCTTTCCTGGCCTGTCAGGCTGTATGCTCAGATAAGGATCTGGTTTGGACATGGGGGGGCTTACCTTTTTTTCTTTTTTTATTGGGTTTTCATTTACAATCCATCCCAGACTCAAAGGGGGAGATTTACTAAAACAGGAGCACTCAGAATTTGGTGCAGCTGTGCATGGTAGCCAATCAGGTTCTAACTTCAGCTTGTTCAATTAACCTCTTGGCGCCAGCCGAACGCAAATGTGCAGCCTCCCAGCGTCTGGGCCTAGATGCCGAGTGGCCGCACATTTGCATTCTATTAAAAAAAAACATATGTTCTGAGAGTTCTGAAAGGTCCCGAACTCCTCTTTCAATCGGGACCTTTCCCGATCATGTGACCGCCGTGACAGCAAATCACAGTGGTCACATGACCCTAAAACCCTGCCCCGCCTCCTGGCTTCTGGGACCCTTAAAGGGCCGGGAGGCGCCAGCACTAAGGGGTTAAGCTTTGGCAATAAACCTGGAAGCTGGTTGTTTTTCGGCAGAGCTGCACCAGATTTTGCACATGTAGTTTTAGTAAATAACCCCCAAAGTGTCTGGTATGGAATTTGAGGAGGGGGACTGTGCTGATTAATTTTTTTTTGCATGGGGTCCCCTTTGACATCCATACATTTGGTGTAGATGAAGGGAATCCACAGCAACTTTGTTTACAAAGAAAAGCAAGCGGCTGGGAATTGTCATTTGCCAGCAGTTTAAACAGCTTTTTTTTCTGTCAGTTTTTCCATAGTAAGTTGTATACATTGTTAAGTGGCGCCACTTCACAGGCAGGCAAAGGTCATTAGTTTTGCATTTTTAATGTTGCCCTTTAAGAACTAATAAAATCACTGCTTCCCGACCATGGGATTTAAAAAAAAAAAAAAATTCAACCCCTTGCCTATTAGTCTAGAAAATGGCCATTACTTTATTTTTAATCTTCAGCACCCATTGATTTCAATGGGGTTCGGATTTTTGCACCCGAATATTAGTAATGTCTGCAGAACAAACCCAGATACCTTCGACTCATTCCTAGTACTTGTTATGTGAGCACATATCATGAAATATACTGTATATTTGATGTTAGGTCCACTTTAAGTACATTTACATAATTATAATAGATACTTCTCTTTTTATAGTTCTTTACTTACTTTTAACAACCAGTTTCTCTCTCCAAAAGGAGTGTTTATGTTTTAAACCAAAGACATCATGTTTTCTTTCAGATTCTCAATATGGAAGATGATCAAAACTGGTACAAAGCAGAACTTAAAGGACACGAGGGCTATATTCCTAAGAATTATATAAAAGTAAAGCCCCACCCGTAAGTAACCTTAGATCAGTGTCTTTCACCCTGTCCTGATTTCCAGCAAAGTCACCGAGAAACTTTGGAAAGCTGCTGCAGGCATGATGCCTACCTCACAAGGTTATGTTGAACACAAAGCGGAGCCCTACTTGTTTTAATGGAAAACATCAGGAACACACAGAGAGACAGGAAATTACATCATAATCATGTAGTTCTATTGGGAAGAACATTACATTATAACAAAACATTTTCTGAAATACCTTAATTTTCCTTTCATGGCAAATTCCTTTTCCTGGCGCCAGTCCATAGAATCATACATGTGGTAGGCAGGGCTGCTGCCATATGTATGCTGCCATGTTGGCACCAGGAAATAAGGATTAAACATAACACTACTAACACCACCGCCTGTTGGCAGAACCAGGGGCGGACTGACAACTCATGGGGCCCCGGGCAATAGGGGATCATGGGGCCCCGTGTCCTTGCCCAAACTCAAAAAAGCCTATGAAAAAGGTACCAGGGGCATCTCATGGCGCCCCATACTGACCCCGGGCCATCGGGCAGTGCCCAAGTTTCCAAATGGTCAGTCCGCCCCTGGGCAGAACTATTAAACTTAGTGAGCAATGGGGAGCCAATATCAGATTTTTCAGCCAGCATAACTCTTGGAAAGCTACAGTGCCTATGTGCTGGAATGGCTGAGCTCCCGCAAATGCGTGGGAGTGAAGTCACCCAGTATCGGCCAATCAAGATGGCTTTAGACTGTCACCCAGAAGAAGCTGGGGAGAAGATGCTGGCTCCAGTGAAGGATCCTATGGGCATCTATTTGTGGAACCAGAGGTAAGAATTGTGGATTTTCGTTCTTCTTTCAATACAAAAGGATTAGGAAGGGCCCTGCTTCTGAGAGTTTACAGTCCAAAAGGGCAAGTGAATCAAAAAGTGATAACTGTGAGGGATGAGCTGATGAGGGAAGTAGAAGTACAGTTTATTAGGAGGCAGTATAGGCTTCCCTGAAGAGATGAGTTTTCAAGGATCTAAAATATAGTTAGGATACTCCTTTGCCAACTATAATAAATTTAATAAAGTGTTTTACTATGTGAGTGATAGTGTAAATAAATGAAATAAATCGAGAATATTATTTACCACTTTAAGTTGCTGCTGCTCCCACCAATCTGTGTTCACACATAAAATTAATTGATAATGATATGTGATGTAGCGCTGCTAACTAGAGTAAAGGATGAAATAGATAATGCCATAAAAAACATCAATCCATCAAATTATGCCATAATATATACCATCAATCCATATATAGTAAACTTACATTAAATATTCTCTAAATATTAAAAAAAATTAATATGCTCTTAAAGTCCATTCAATTCAAAAAAGTGGGTGAACCAACACCATATGACATATATCTGTGCTCCAATATTGCTTTGCACACTATAGTGCCACCTCAGTGCTCTCAAAACTCTCACCTCCAGTTTTCTGTTACGTTGCATGTATATAAAATATCTCCACTTTTAATCTCTGTCTCCTCCGACCACTAGGGACTCTCCACTCTTCCTTTCAGTAATCAGATGTGTGATATCTTTAAGACTTTCACAGTCTCAGATGAGCATTATCACCTCGCCCATATACAAAAAGAATACGTCTCATATAGTGTAGTATATCAGTAAAACTTTCCAGCATTTATTCAAATATATTGCACACATGTTCAAATAGGAAAAAGATCACTTTTAGAATCAGAGAATCGTGGCATGTTCTTCCGTATTGCCTCACTTTGGTTACATCTGCCTCCGCTTACACCCGACGCATTGCGTCGCTGTCACGTGACTTCATCAGGGGTATAGCGACAGTGACATAACATGTCGAGCATAAGCGGAGCCAGATGTAACCGGAAGTGACGCAATTCGGAAGTACATGCCGCGATTCTCTGATTCTAAAAGTGATCTTTTTACTATTTAAATGTAAGTGCAATATATTTTAATAAATGCTGGAAAGTTTTACTAACATACTACACTACGAGTGGAGAGTCCTTAGTGGTCAGAGGAGACAGAGATTAAAAAAGGAGATATTTTATTTACACGCAACATAACAGAAAACTGGAGGTGAGAATTTTGAGAGCACTGAGGTGGCGCTATAGTGTGCGAAGGAAACTTGGAGCACGGATATATGTCATACGGTGTTGGTTTACCCACTTTGTTGAATTTAATGGACTTTAAGAGAATATTAATTTTTTTCACTAATTTAGAGCATATTTTATGTAAGTTTTATTTACTATATATGGATTGATGGTATTTATTATGGCATAATTTGAAGGATTGATGTTTTTTATGGTATAATTTATTTATTTCACTATTTACACCAGTAAGCAGAGCTACATCACACATCATAATCAATTAGTTTTCAAGGATTGCCTAGTAGAAGATAGCCATGCAGAATAGGGTAAGGCATTCCAGAGAATAGGAAAGGCTCTGAAGAAGTCCGGGAAGCGAGCATAGGAGGAGGTGATGAGGCAGCTAGAGAGCAGGAGGTCTTGGGAGGAGCAGAGAGTACGGTTTGGATAACATTTTGAGATGAGTATGGTGATGTAGCTGGAGTTTTGGGTGGCTTTGTATGTTGTTATTATGATTCAGAATTGTATTTGTTGGGCAAGTGAAAGTCAGTGGAGGGTATAGCAGAGAGGGTTGGCAGACACTGAGTGGTAGAATAAGCGGATGAGTCTAGCAGAACTATCCATGATAGACTGAAGGGGGGATTTCATGTGCAGAGGTAGACCAACAATGATGCAGTTGCAGTAGTCAAGGCAGGAGATAACCAGGAAACAAAATGGTACCTTGATGGTGTCATTGGTTAAGAAGGATCCTATTTTGGAAACGTTACAGAACAAGAGAGCTGCTAAAGTTGGCAATTGCATAGCTATCCAAAGCATTGCAAACAGTCAAACGCTCAATGACTGAGCCACAAATTTCTTGGAATTCCTACAAAACAGAACTTTGATTGATGGCCAAGTGGTTTTGTAGCTGCTACACATTTCTGCTATAAAATGGGTGGTAATGTGTGTGAGGCTGAAGCTACATGAGCTCTGCTGTACTGAAAAATGGGGTGGGACATATATTATAAACATGAGGATGTAGGTGCCGTTGTTCCCAGCACTGGTGATGAAGCTGAGACACATCTGTTGTGCTGGGTTATTTCCCTGAACTCAGTGAAGCAGATAGGAAACCACAGAAACCACGACTTACATTGCAACACGTGGTGGAATTCAGAGCACTGTACCAATCTGCAAGTGGAGTGTGCAACAAATACAGCCTACGTTGTGGTTTTATAAGGAGAAACCCCAATAACAGTTTACTTAGAATGTACGCCAGATTTTCTCATTTTCTCACAAAGGAACCCTGGAAACACTTGCAAAACCAATTAATTGGTGGACAGTGGGAAAAAATACCCCATACATTGGTGGCCCATGAGAAAAATGTCCCCCATGCAGTGGTGGTCAGAATGCGATCCTAATTATTATTATACAGGATTTATATAGCGCCAACGGTTTGCTCAGCGCTTTACATTATAGTGGGAGACAATACAGTAACAATACAGTTCAATACAAGAGGGAGTTGAGGGCCCTGATCCTTGGAGCTTACAATCTAGGAGGGAGGGGTGAGTGGTACAATAGGTAAAACTGTGAGGGATGGAGTGGTTGGAAGCGTAGAGGATACCAGTATTAGCAGAGGACGGGATAGGCTTCCCTGAAGAGATAGGTTTTCAATGATCGCCTAAAGGTAAGTAGAGTAGGTGATAATCTGATAGATTGGGGTAGGGAAGTTCCAGAGGATGGGTGACGCCCTATGAGTTCTTGCACATGACTCTCCCAGGTTGCATTGACCCCAGAACGCAGCAGGATCCATCATATGTTAGCTCAATCAGCCGCAGCTCAAGGAACCCCTAACAACCTTTGGTGGAACCCTGGTTGAGAATGGCTGTTGTATGGTATTAAAATTGAACGTTCCTAGCTGTTCCTCTCTTTTTAAGCCAATCCCTCTGTGCCTCGCCCCAGCTCCCCCCAAGCGTTTCTTTCAGTTTTTGGTAAAGAGCCAGGATAGGTAAGAACTTCTGTGTTCTCATTGGAGATATCTCCCCTCACTTCATGTTTAGGTGGCACCAGGACTAGGGATGAGAGAGGGTCCCTGGGATAAGAAGACTTAGAAAGCAATAAAAATATCGCAGATGTTCCAACACTTCCCTGCTCTAATTAATAATATCATGTTGTTGCTTTCTCTGTCTCCATCAGAAAATAAATTCTATCACTTTCATTCTTTGTGATTTCATGTCAGCAGGACAGGAGGCAAGAGTAAATATCCTCAATGGGGATACTTAGCAGTAATCACCTGGCAGATGTTGTAATCCTTTCCCTCTCTGTACAACAAAAAAATGTCTGAAGTGAAATGGCTTTACCATCTGATGCAGAACTCTGTATATTAAAAAATTGTACTATGTAATTACAACAAATGTTCATGATGCTCTTTTTCTGGCCAGCTTGTAAATGACTGCATTTTTTCAAACACGTATAAATGACTGCAAAAGCATGTTTAAAGGGTAACTCCACTTTTTTGCTACACAAGTCATATTATAATTGAATGTTATTAAAAATGACCATTCCTTTTCAATCTGCAGCTCTTTAGTTTTCTGTAAAAATGCGATGCAATATAGCTACCCGGAGGCATTCTGTACGCAGATGGTATACAGAACACCCCCCAGAAATGTCATTTCCTGCATGTGTGATTGGCTCACTGATTTTCCCAGAAGTCTGCACCAAGATATAAATCAGATTTTGGGCATCCCCTGCAAAAAAAATTTATTTTTGGTGAGATACCCTCAAAGAAAAATTGTCTAAGGGCTCGTTCACACCATACATGCATGAAAACTGATGGAAACATTTGTGCAGATTTCACCTGCAGAGACATCGGTTTACATTAGTTTTTGTACACTTTGCATATTCCTATGCAGAAAAAGTCTGCACGTGATACCAGTGTTGTGGTGTGAACAGGGCACACAGAGAACAATTGATTTTGTTGTGCCCTTGCAGATCGCCTGCAGAAAAAAATGACGTCTCTGCACCATGGTGTGAAACAAGGCTAAAAGGGATGCAGTTCCTGCCACTTTCCTCATTAAAGCCCTGCAGGTGCAGCAGCTGATTGATCATTTTATAATCACTCCCATACAGATTTACTCTGCACATGGACACAGACAAGCAAACAACTATTTTTTTCTGAATAACAGAAGGTACTGTAGGAATCTGCAACAAAGTTTGTTAAAATCCTTGCAATGTACATAGATTGCCCAGAAGGGAATGTTTTTTTCTCAACAAAAGTTACTCTATGAATTAAATGTGAACATTCACTTGGCTCAGAAGTTGGTGTTCCCAGACTTCTAGATTACAAACCAGATATGTTCTGATTATGCATCATGTTCCTGTATATATTTAAATAAACACCATGAATTGTCATGAACTGGGACCTTTTAGGTGACACATTGATGTACATAACATGTATTGATTAAATGGAATTTACCATTTTTATTACGTTGTATTCTGAAATGAATGAAAAACTGATTCACAAATGAAAAATTAGCTTAAACATAATTGCTTAATTAATACATGGAGTTCAATAGAGTCCAATACTGCCACCACTCCCTTGCACTATTACAATGATATCATTATATAAAATCCATACATATGATGGGAGCTGGGTAACATCATTGTGGCACCTAAAAAGTCTCAGTCTGATAATAATTCAACATGTTTCTTCTAGATAAGTGACAACAAAGTGATGTAACAGAGAATCTATTACATTGTCTATAACAGTGGTCTCCAAACTGTGGCTCGGGGGCCAGATGCGGTCCAGTGATTTCCTTTATCCAGCTCTTGGGGCAGTATTCCACCCGAGAGCACCAACGATGGGGCAGAATTCCTCCCACTGATACCAATAATGAGGCACTATTTCTTCCACTGACACCAATGATGGGGCTATTTTCTCCCAATGACACCAACAATGGAGCACTATTCCTTACACTGACACCAACGATGGGCGTTGGTCCTTTCACTGACACCAATGATGTGGCACTATTCCTCCCGGACACGGACACCAACGATAGGGCACTATTCCTTACACTGACACCAACGATGGGCGTTGGTCCTCCCACTGACACCAATGATGTGGCACTATTCCTCCCACGGACACCAACGATGGGGCACTATTCCTTTCAGTGATGGGGTACTATTCCTTCCAATGATGGGGTACTATTTCCCCCACTGACACCAATGAAGGGGCACTATTCCTCCTACTGACACTAACACTTGGGCACTATTCCTCTCACTGACACCAACGGTAGGGCAGCATTCCCCTGCCCCCACCCTGTAAAAAAATGGGGCATTGTTTATCCCACTGATGCCAGGACATTATGTTCTACTATCACTGGCCACAGTCTGTCCCCCCTAAAGTCTGAAGGACAATAAACTGGCCCTTTTTTAGAAAGTTTGGAAACCCCTGGTCTATAATCTTGACAGACCACACCCATTAAAACATACCACATCTTCCCATGCCATTTCATTCATCTGTTGTAGGCCTTAGAAATATTTGGTACTTCAGGCATAGGGGAGCATGTCACTTTGTTCTCTTTCCTCCCAAGCTGCAGTGCTCGGACCAAGGCGACCAATGACCAAGCCTGAAGACTGTCAGGTGGGGGGAAGAGAAGGTCATGGACCCTGTGTAGGCTCTGGCCAGAGAAGATAGTGGTAAAGGAGCGTGGGAAGGTTAAGTACCATTGGGTTGAGGGTGCCCTTTTTTAGAGAACCTGTCACCATGTTCTGAAGAACGAGAAAAATGATTTATCCTTTTTAAGTAGTGGTGTCCTCAAACTATGACAGTAAGTAAGTCTGAAGCCTTGAGACAATAGGCAATCTGCTTTTCATAACCTCAATTGTGTAATTTTATTTTATTCTAACCAACGGGTTCTCCACCGCTTGATATAGGTGGTACGCCGGTCGGATCTCCAGGCAGGTAGCAGAGGAAATGCTACTGAAAAAGAAATTTCTAGGTGCCTTCCTGATCCGTGATAGTGAAAGTTCTCCTGGGGAATTCTCCATGTCCGTCAAGTAAGACATAACAGTTCTGCATTCTGTATTCTGTTTTTTTATTGTTCCCTTCACCCATATTTTATCAGCAAATGGAGACTTTTTACTTGTCCTAACTTTAGCATATCCTGTTGAGAAGACCAGTCACCTCTGCTGGTTATCTGTGGGCTGAGTGACAGGTCTCCTCTATGCCCCCCTCTAGTACCGTAAGGTGAACCTATTGGATGAAGTCCTGCAGACTCCTTTTCCCTGTTCTCCTGGAGGAGGACGATCCTGAAGCTTAGCGATGACATTCAATTTTATTTTTTGCCCGATTTTCTTCTTTGACCCTTCCATGTGATAAAATATCATTTCAACATCTCTAATGCTCGTTTTCCTGAGATTAGACTTCCAATCTCAGAGATGACCTGCAACTCCAAATGAACCCATATGGGGGCAGCATAGGAATAGGATTGAACTACAGACTGGATAGGGAAGACAATCCCGGAATTGTAAGAAAATTGAATTCAAATTGGCCAGACACTGCAAACACCTAACACAGAACAGACGCTGCTTTCCTGCTCTCTTTCTCCTGCTATAAATATACACAGCTATATCATTTGAAATATACTGAATACAAATCATTCCTATCTTCCACATGCTTGCTGTTTTGGCTGTGCTTCACCGGTGGACAGGGGCGGACTGACAACTCATGGGGCCCCCGGGCAATAGGGGATCATGGGGCCCCTGTGTCCTTGCCCAAACTCAAAAAAGCCTATGAAAAAGGTACCAGGGGCATCTCATGGGGCCCCCTACTGACCCCGGGCCCTCGGGCAGTGCCCGAGTTTCCAAATGGTCAGTCCGCCCCTGTCTGTGGATGACAGGAGTGCAGTTCGTTCTGCACTCCTGTGACCTGTTTTCAGCTGACGTCACTCTGGGGAAGATCCCAACTTCAAAGTCGGGATCCACCCCAGAGTCTGGAGCAGCACCTGGCTCAGCCTCTCTGCAAAGCGCTGAGAGCCTGAGCCAGCCTCTCCTTCCCCCTCCACAGCCCAGCGCTCCTGTGAACCCTGGGGGTGCCGATCAGACAGTGGTGACTGACAGTCACCGTTCTCTGCTCACAGCAGCTGAGAGAATTCAGCAAACTGAGTGACCGTCAAGTTCTCACATTTAGAGCCAGCGGGGGACAGATGCTGCATCCACCTAAGTATTATTTCAGAGAAAACAACTTCTCTTTTAAGGCCAATTTACTGCTATGTTGTGAATAACCCTGAATATCAGGAGATCACGTTATGCACACACAGTTGAATGCATAGTGGGGGTGTTCAGGTGGGCAGCCTGTAGTGGGAGTAGCCTGCTGGGCCCCTCCCACAGCTTTACTTTCTGCACAGTGATGATGTCACCACTACATCTACAAGATAATATGGATTTTCTTTAATTTGTGGTTATTGAGGAATATATTCAATTGACAGTTTTAGTGTGTGGAGTTTGGCTTTAAACTTTTAAAACAACACTACTAATGCATTATAGGTTCACCTTCAAGAGCCATTTATTTAATTAGAATTCCTGGGCAGGCATCCTTGTAGTCCTTATCTGACAACATGTCTGCTTTGGCAGGGTTCCCATTGAACGAGGCGGCTGATTGTAGAGGGAGGAAGACTCGGCCCACCACAGGATGTGGGTGACACTGGTGAAGTCTAATATCTGTGCATTCCTGTCTATAGAGAGAAAGCAAGGTGTAGATTTTATAACCGCAGTGCAAACCTGACACTGTAGACCCTGCTATGTACTGTTCTGAAGCAGAGGGATATAAACTATCTTCTGTCAGGGCTGTAAATAGAGGGGGGGGGGGGGGTTGTGATTTCTAGGGACAGCATCAGTCTTTTGAGCTTAAAGAAAAAATAATTGAAGGAGCTCTTTTTATTACCTCTCAAAGAGCTCACAGTACTCCTCCTGACAATGCTTTCATCAGTACCATCTTTGTTCAGTACCATCTTTGTTCAGTTATCATCTGGGTTCATTATCTACTTCCAGAGGCAATACTATCATGTATATTCTGGCGTCTATCTAGTTCTTGGCTGTGTTTACAAATGTGAATCAGCCCCTGCTGCCACCTCTCGCCTTGTGACTTGCTACAGCATTACAATATTGCAGTCTGATTTTAGGACAAGAGACTGAGGAAATGCTTCCTCATGCCTGCAGCAGACTGATGATATTGTAGGTTTCACCTACAAGCCTAGTCACAGTCCCAGCCTGTTGTCACCCAGGATGGGTGACAGCAGCTTAGTGAAGGTATAATGGTTGGTTATCATTCCTCGAGGTTTTCTGTGTCGGTGTATAGAATCAGTCTACACAGTACTCTCCTATCGGAATAAATGTAATAGAGTGTTGTGACCAGTCATAGGTACTGAGGAATATCCACCCTAGGGTCCCAGCACCATTCAGTTTACTATCCCAAGCTGCTTCATTTTTGTGATTTTTGGCTTCCCCAGCATCCTCGTAACACATAATACATGAACTAATGTTTGATGGGCTCTTTTGGAACTCGTGTACCATGTGAATTCCGGTCTGTGGTTACCATTCAGGTAAACAGTGAGACAGAGATATCTGAAATTGCAATGAACACAAACCCGCCAACAATGCAATAACAATGATACAGCAAGAACAATAAAGACACACAGGTGATCAGCTGGCATGTAATGGCCCTGGAGCTTTATTATTACTTAACCACACAGAGATTAAATAACTAAACACAAAACACCCCAAAATAGTTCTCAAGAGTAGACCAAACCACTAGAAGTGCCCATCTAACCAGGCCTATGAGATAACTAAGGGAACTGATTGGGATAGACATATGGAAACTTCTATTGCTGAGTTGGTTTTAAAGAGTGAAGCTGTTTAGAGGGCAAAAGGGCCACGCCAAAGGTTTAGGAAGTCCAATTTTATATGTTTCATCACAAAATCACAGGGATGGGTTAACTGGCCATGCAGTGATGTTGGATTGCAGGATGACAGGTCTGCTGGATAGCAGGTGGCAACATATAGTGAGCAGCAAGATGGCTGCCTAGAGGTTTCCAGGACTAGCGTGACGCCATGCTGCCTCCATTCTTCAGTATGAGTGATATGTAAGTCGGATGTTCGTAACTCGGGGACTGCCTGTAAATACATTCCAGGGGCATAAAAACAAAAGTTGTCCAAAGTTTTACTTGGTTTATTTGCTTTTTTTTTTCTCTCTCTCTTGCTCTCTCCCTCTCCTTCTCCCTCTCCTTCTCCTCCTTCTCCCTCTCCTTCTCCCTCTTCTCCTTCTCCCTCTCCCTCTCCTTCTCCTCCTTCTCCCTCTCCTTCTCCTTCTCCCTCTCCCTTTCCTTCTCCTTCTCCCACTCCTTCTCCCTCTCCCCCTCCTTCTCCCTCTCCTTCTGCCTCTCCCTCTCCTTCTCCCTCTCCCACTCCTTCTCCCTCTCCTTCTCCGTCTCCTTCTCCCTCTCCCCCTCCTTCTCCCTCTCCTTCTCCCTCTCCCTTTCCTTCTCCCTCTCCCCCTCCTTCTCCCTCTCCCTTTCCTTCTCCCTCTCCTTCTCCCTCTCCCCCTCCCCTTCCTCCCTCTCCTCCTTCCCTCCCTCCCTTTCCTCCTCTCCCTCTCCCTTTCCTTCTCCCTCTCCTTTTCCTTCTCCCTCTCATTCTCCCTCTCCCCCTCCTTCTCCCTCTCCCTTTCCTCCTCTCTCCTCTCCCCTCTCCCCTCCCCCCTCCTTCTCCCTCTCCCCTCCTTCTCCCTCCCTCTCCTCTCCTTCTCCCTCTCCCTCTCCTTCTCCTTCTCCCTCTCCCTCTTCCCCTCCTTCTCCCTCTCCTTCTTCCTCTCCCTCTCTCTCCCCTGCATCTGAGTACCACAAACTGAAAACACTGTTTAACTAATTTTTAGTACTCAAAGCAAACTCTCCCATCCATATCTCCATGTTTTTTTTTTTTTGCTGAGAAACCACTTTGAAAAACACCCTCCTAGCATTTCTAGCCTCAGCCATCTTGAATAAGGACAGATGATTTGTGTAACATTTACTTCCTGAAATCCATCTGCCCTTAGCTTGGGCATGCAGACAGTAGGGGGGTGTGCTTAGCTGAGAAAACCCCTCCCCTCCTAAAGACTCCTGGGATGTATGACATCAGTTTGGCCTAGGTCAAAAGGAAGTGACTGAAGAAAAGCTAAAAAAAAGTTTAAAAAAAGAAAATATAATATACAGTACCTTCATATTTGTTTACTAATGCTAGCAGGATAAGGATTAAAAATAGTTCATGTGGATTGAAAGAGTTTAGTTCCACTTTCACTTTAGAGAGATTTTTACTCAAAACAGAAAGTAAGGAAAAATATCCCCAATCAGTTAAAAAAAATGAGAGGTTTTAACTCCTTCCCTTCCCCTAATTTTCAAAACAAAGCAAAAAAGGTTTGGGCTTTACATATACATAAGTATTTGTAAAGACACTGCAATAAATGAGGACACTTGTTCTGGTGACAGCTAAATAGAGATTTTCCTCACTTGTAGACTTCCTTTCACTTCCCATTGTGTCTCCAGGATAGGAAGGAAAGGGAAATCTCCGAAATGAGATACAAACAGTTAAAAAGAAAAACGTGGATGACCTTTGTCACAGGGACTAAAAATGAAAAATCAAAAATTTGGAGTTTTCATCTGAACCGCAATACAGGAGAAGTCTTCTCGTGTGGACACTTATTCCATTGACAGCTAAAGCATGATCTCCGTACCTTAAAGAGATTTCTGCTCACTTCCTATTATGCCACCAGAGAAGAAAGTAGAAGGAAATCTCCCCAATGTGATACATGCAGTAAAAAACTCTTGTAGACCTAAACTTGCAGGAAAAAAATATTGTGAGCAGTCATCGATTTATTGCAGAAGAGGAATGCCATATCCCTTCTGCAATAAGACAGACTTACCTGACTGTTCATATTCTTCTGTTGAATGTGCGTGTGCAGCTCAGCAGACATTCCAGACACACTGCAATGGTGCCAGAATGTATGACTCCCATGTGCATGCACAGGAGTCA